ATGGGGGGGTGGGGGGGGTCTCCGGGGCTGACCCGACCCCCCCCGGCACCCCCAGCTCCCGTACCTCATCGACGGCTCCACCAAGCTGACGCAGAGCAACGCCATCCTGCGCTACATCGCCCGCAAGCACAACATGTGTGAGTGGGGGTCCCCGCGCCCGGGGGGGGGGTCCCCGGGGTTTGCGGGGGCTGGGCTGACCCCTCCCCACCCCGCAGGTGGTGAGACGGAGGAGGAGAAGCAGCGCGTGGACGTGCTGGAAAACCAGCTGATGGATTTGAGGATGAATTTCGCCCGGCTCTGCTACAGCCCTGACTTTGTGAGTGCCCCCGGGGGGGTCATGGGGGACGGGTCCCCCCCAGCCCCGGGGCTGTCCCCACACGTGGGACACGGGGGCCGAGCCAGCACCGGCACTGGGGCACATTCCTGGCCTGGCTGCACTCGGGGGTGATGCCCCTGGGTTCTGGGGGGCTGGGGGGGAGCAGCCCCCCGAACTGTGCCCCCCCCGCCCCGTGCAGGAGAAGCTGAAGCCGGCGTTCCTGGAGCAGCTGCCCAAGAAGCTGCAGGAGCTGTCGCGATTCCTGGGCTCCCGGCCCTGGTTTGCGGGGCAGAAGGTAGGTGGGGGATGCGGGGGGGTTTTGGGGAGTCCCTGTGGGTCTGACCCCCCTGGCCCTCCCCAGCTCACCTTCGTGGACTTCCTGGCCTACGACGTGCTGGACCAGCAGCGCATGTTCGTGCCCGAGTGTCCCGAGCTGAAGGGAAACCTGGCCCAGTTCCTGCAGCGCTTCGAGGTGAGCGGGGCCGGGACAGCCCGGGGACAGCCCGGGGACAGCCCAGGGCCAGCCCGGGGCCACCGCGCTGTCCCGGCCCCATCTCCATCCCTGACACCCCGATGTCCCCTTCCCCCACCCCGCTGTGCCCGTCACCATCCCTGTCACCTCAGTGCTGTGCCCTTGTCCCATCCCAAGCCTCATCCTTCAATCCCCGGTGTTTCTGTCTCCATCCCATTCGTGTGACCCCAGCCCTGACCCTCGGTGTCCCAATCCCTGTCCCTAATACCTCGGTGTCACCATCCCTGATATCCCAATGTTCCCACTCATTCCTGACACTCCAATGTCCCTGTCCTAATTCCTGACACCCTAGGGTCCATCTGTGTCCCCATCCCAGTGATCCCATCCCTGCCCCAGACACCCCGATGTCCCTGTCCCCATCCCAGACACCCCAGTGTCCCCATCCCTGTCCCAGACACCCCGGTGTCCACCCCCGACCCTGTGGTGTCCCAATCCCTGCCCCAGACACCCCGATGTCCCTGTCCCCATCCCAGACACCCCAGTGGCCCCATCCCTGTCCCAGACACCCCAGTGCCCCCCCCCCCGACCCTGGTGTCTCCACTGTCCCCACGTGTCCCTGTCCCCCCAGGCCCTGGACAAGATCTCTGCCTACATGCGCTCGGGGCGCTTCATGAAAACTCCGATTTTCTGGCGCACGGCCAAGTGGTGCAACACCAAGGAGTGAGGGGCTGACCCCCCCCCGGGCCCCCCAGGTCGCCCTAGAACTCCCCAATAAATCATGAGGGGCTCCCCCTTGTCTGTGCTGTGTGGGGTGCACTGAGCTGCCGAGGGGCTGCGCCGGGAGCTGAGGGAACCCCTCATTTGTGGGGTAACCCCTGGGGGATGTTGGACCCTCCTGAGTCCTGGGGTGGGGGGAGCCAGCCCCCTGCATCCCCAGGGTAAGGGGGACTCCCGTGAGGCTGCGGGGAGCAAGGTGGGGTCCCTATCCCTCCAGGATAGTGAGAGCCCCCTGCAGCTGAGGGGATTCAAAGGGGGGACCCCGATAAAGCTTGAGGGGGGTCACAGAGGGACCCATGGCCCCCAGCGTAAGGGGGTTCCCATGGAGTTTGGGGGGTTGCAAGTTTCCCCAAGGAAAACAGGGAAGCCATGGAATTTAGGGGGCTGCAGAGCCCCAGAACAAGGGGACCCATGGGGTCTGTGGGGTGGCAGTGCCCCCAGAACAAAGTGGTTCCATGGGGTTGGTGGGGTGTGTCACAGAACCCCCCCGAGACGGGGGACCCCATGGAATTTAGGGGGGTCACAAAGCCACGGGGATGGGGAGGGTCACAGAACGCCCTGTTAACGGGGACCCCCATAGAACTTGGGGTGGCCGCAGAGCCCCCAGGATAAGGGGGACCCCATGGGTTTCGGGGTGGTCACAGAACCCTCCAGACAAGGTTGTTCCCATGGGATAGGAGGGACGCAGATCTGCCGGAACTCGGGGAACCCCACGGGGTTTGGGGGGTTGCGGAGCCCCCGGGATAAGGGGGTTCCGTGCGGGCGGGGGGGGGAGCCACAGAACCCTCTGCTAAGGGGGACCCCACGGAGCTTGGGGGGGCCACAGAGCCCCGGGATAAGGGGAAGACCGGGGATATGAGGGACCCCCGGGATAAGGGGAACCCCGGGATGAGGGGACCCCCGAGATAAGGGGACCCCCGAGATAAGGGGAACCCCGGGATGAGGGGGTCACCCGGGGAACCCGGTCCCATTAAGCCCCGCCCCTCCCCAGCCCCTCCCCCATCAGGGCGTGACGGTGGGGGCGGGGCAGCGATCGCGCGGCCATGGCGGTGTTGGGGTACTGGGACATCCGCGGGGTGAGTGGGGACCCGCCACCCCCTAGGGACACCCCCGCGCGGGGGGGGAGGGGACTGCGGGGACCCCAGAGCTGCGGGGTTCGCTTTTGGTTTGGGGGGGCTGTGGGGACCCCTCGGAGCTGTTAGGGGGCAGCGAGGGGTCCTCGAGGGTCCCGTTTGTCTTGCGGGGGGCTGCGAGAGGTCCCTTTGGGCTTGTGGGGTGTCTTCGGGGGTCTCCCCTGGCTTCTGAGGGTTTGTGGGGAGTCTTCAGGGGTCTCCTGTGTCTTTTGGGCAGGTTGTGGGGGTCCCTCTGGTGTTCTGGGGGAGGCGGCTCTGGCCCCTCCTCCTCCGCCCCCGCTCCTCATTAGCACATTCCTAAGGAGCTCTAATGAGGCCCCCTCATTAGTCTCAGGGGGGACTGCAGGGGGTCACCCTTGGGGGGCTGCAGTGGGTCCGTGGGGGTCCCTCTGGTGTTTTGAGGGGTCTTGGGCTGTCCCCCTAACCTTGGGAGGAGCTGTGGGAGCCCCTCTGGTCTTTGGGGGGTCTGCAGGGCCCCTCAGGTCTTTTGGGGAAACTGTGGGAGGTCTCCTTGATCTTTGGGGATGCTCTGGGATGAACTGTGGGGTCGGTCTGGGGTGAACTGTGGGGTCGGTCTGGGGTGAATTGTGGGGTCCTGCTGCAGTTGTGGTGGGAGGATGTTGATTTTGGGGGGTTCTCCTGTGCAGGGGGTGCTGACTGGGGGCACTGGAAAGGGGTGCAGTTTGCCCTCCCCAGTGCCTCAGTTTCCCCGTGTGTGAGCCAGTTGCAGGCTCACGTTTGGGGGGTGTTTTTGGGGTGTCTGACCGATCCCACTCCCCAGCTGGCCCACGCCATCCGCCTGCTCCTGGAGTACACGGAGACGCCCTATGAGGACAAGCTGTACAGCTGTGGGGAAGGTGAGGGGGGTCAGGGGGTCCCCACACCATCCTCAACCTCTTTTGGGGTTTTTGGGGCGGATACAACATCACCCAAACCCCTTCCCTTGCAGCTCCCGACTACGATAAGAGCCAATGGATCAACGAGAAGGAGAAGCTGGGCCTTGACTTCCCCAACGTAGGTGTCTGGAGCTGGGGGGCTGGGACTGGGGGGGTCTCGCTGTCCCGGTGTCCCCATGTCCCTCTGTCCCCTCCAGCTGCCGTACTTCATCGATGGCACCACCAAACTGACCCAGAGCAACGCCATCCTGCGCTACATCGCCCGCAAGCACAGCATGTGTCAGTGCGGCTGACAGGGGCTGCAGGGGGCTGGAATTGGGATTGGAGTGGGGCTGGAGTGGGGGCTGCAGGGGGATTGGAGGGGTGGCTGGAAGTGGGCTTGGATTGGGATTGGAGGGGTGCTGGAGTGGGGGCTGGAGTGGGCTTGGAGCGGGGCTGAAGAGAAATTGGAGTGGGATTGGAGTAAATTTGGAGTGGGATTGGAGTTGGGATTGGAATTAGTTAGTGTTTGGTTGGGTTGGAGTTGGATTAAAGTTGGGGTTGGAGTAGGGTTGGAATTGGGTTGAGGTTGGAGTAGGGTTTGTCTTAGGGTTGGGTTGGGAGCTGGAATTGGAGTAAGGCTGGGGATGGGATTGGAGTAGGGTTGGAATTGAATTGGGGTTTCGTTGGGCTTGGTTTGGGGTTGGAGTTGGATTGGGGCACAGGTTGGAGTGGGGGTGAGCATGGGGCTGGAGTTAAAGTGAAAGGGACCCACAGGCAGCAGCAGGGCTGGGGTCAGGGAGGGCTTGGGGCAGCAGGGCTGGGGTCAGGGAGGGCTTGGACCCCAGTGCTGACCCCCCTGTGCAGGTGGTGAGACAGAGGAGGAGACCCTGCGTGTGGACATGCTGGAGAACCAGATCATGGACTTCCGCATGAGCCTTGTCATGGTCTGCTACAACCCTGACTTTGTGAGTGTCCTGCAGGCTGGGGGACACTGTGCCAGCATTGGGGACCCCATATTGGGAGGGTGCTCCCCAGGGTGGCAGGCTGGGGCTGCCCATCCTCACCCCTTCCTCCCTCCTCAGGAGAAGCTCAAGCCGGGCTACCTGGAGCAGCTCCCGGGGAAGCTGAAGCTCTTCTCCAACTTCTTGGGGGACAGAAAGTGGTTTGCAGGAGAGAAGGTACTGCCAGGACTCCCGAGGGGGCTGAGGGGCTGGGGAGGGGGTTTGTCCTCACTGTGTCCCCCGATGTCCCCAGCTGACCTTCGTGGACTTCCTCATGTTCGACGTGCTGGATCAGAACCGCATCTTTGAGCCCAAGTGCCTGGAGCCCTTCAAGAACCTCAAGGACTTCATGGAGCGCTTTGGGGTGAGCAGGGGCACCCCGAGGCCACCCCTGGGTGGGGGCTGCCACGGTGGGGGCAGCCCTGACACCCCGTGTGTGTCCCCAGGCTCTGGAGAAGGTGGCTGCCTACTTGAAGTCCAGCCGCTTCCAGAAGATGCCCATCAACAACAAGATGGCCAAGTGGGGCAACAAGAAGTTGTAGGAGCTCAGCACGAGGCTCAGAGGGTGGGGGGAGTCCTACCCCAGACCTTCCAGCACCCTCCATCCTTGGGGGGGGACAGCACCACTGGCATGACGCCCCCCAAGACAATAAAATCATTTTTAGATGTGGCACCCTGAGCTCCCCACAAGCCTTGTGGTGTTGGGGGGCACTGAGGTGGCCCCGTGGTTGGGGGTTGGTGGCTGTGGGGTGAGGCGGGGGTCCCTGCCCCATGGGGCCCAGTCCCGGCGTGGCTGGCTTGGTCTGGGGCCCGAGCTCAGCCCGGAGCTGTTCCCAGGGCTCTCCCTCTTGCCCTGGGAAAGGGAAAGGAGCCCGGAGCCTCGAGCCTCGCTTCTTCCCGCCCCCGCTCCTCATTAGCACATGCCTAATGAGCTCTAATGAGGCAGCCCTGACAAAGGCCTGGGGAGGGAGCTTTGGTGCCCTGCCACCCACCCCGGGTGCGGAGCGGGGTGGGCTGGGGACAGCCCTGTCCCCTGCGGCCCCTCGCTGCCATCAGCCCGCAAAGATGGGGCCAGGAACGTGCCTTGGGTGCTGCGGGGGGGGGGGGGTAAATGCTGCGTCCCCCTCCCTGCCCTGTCCCTATTCCCCCATTCCCCTTGTCCCTCTCCCTGCCCCTGGGGTGCCCTCCAGACTCTGCACACCCCACTGCTGTCACTTTTATTTTCCACATCAATCGCTTTACATTTTGGGGGTGCAAAGTCCCTTCACAGCGCCTGAGCCCGCCGAGGGGGGTGCCTGCCCCCCTCCTTCCTTTGGCGGGGGCGTTCTCTAATTTCAAGGAGTGATTCTGTGTCTTTGGGGGCCAGGTGGGATGCGGGGGGTGGGTTCGCCCCCAGGTCCAGCCGTTCCCAGGGTGCTCTATCCGGGGCGGGGACATGATGGGGACATCGGCGTGGCTTCCGTGGCTCAGTCCCTGGGACCGATCTGCAGAGAAGGGGATGGGAGGAGTGGGGGGGAGAGGAGCGGGCGTGGGGATGAGGGTCCCTCCCCCCCATGGCCGGCGGGAGTCCCTCACCCACAGGGAGAGGAGCGGGTGGGGGCCGGGGTCCCACACCCCCAGGGACAGCCGGGGCCGGGGTCCCAAACCCCCTGGGACAGCCGGGGCCGGAGGCGGGGCGGGAGTGGAGGTCTCTCACCGCAAGGCCAGCCCCGGGGGTGGGGAGGGGGCGTGGGGCCGAGGGTCCCGAGCTGGGGTGGGGGTACGGGGGTGGGAGTGCCTCACCCCCAGGGATGTCCTGATGGGGGACAGCTTGAAGAGGACCCTGCGCCACTCCTCGGGACAGACACCTCGCAGCTCGGCCGGGCTCATCTGCAGCAGCTCATGGCCCCGCAGCACGCCCAGGGTCCGCACCGTGCTGCGGGGGCGGGCACGGTGAGTCGGGCTCCCTCCAGCCCCAAAGGGACCCGGGCGGGCTCTGGGGGGGAGTGGGCTCAAGGGACCACCTACATCCGCGAGAAGCCCTTGTCCATCAGCCAGGCCGTCACCTCTGCCGGCGAGGAGCTGGGGTGCAGGCTGGGGGGACTGTCCTGGAGCCGGGGACAAAAGGAGGGGACATCGCGGTCACCCCGTCCTGGTGGCGGGCGCGGGGAAGGGAGGGGTGAGGGGTCTCCCACCTGTCTGGCGCTGTGCCCCAGCTCCGGGAGGGGCTCCAGGATGTTGCCAGGGACGTGTCCCCTGTCCCCCCGCTCGTCCTGCACCAGCCACCACTTCCTCTGCTGGTCCAGGACCTGGGGAGGTGACAAGGGGGGCAGCGTGGAGGGCAGGGCCCCGGGGTCCCGACTGCGTCCTCCCCACGGGCCCCGCTCCCACCTGCAGCGTGTCCCCCTTCCTGACGCTCAGCTCCTGCGAGTTCCTGGCCTGGAAGTCGTACAGGGCTCGGACCAGCCCCCGGGCAGGGAGCGGGGACCTGGGAGTGGGCAGCGGGGGGATCAGTGCCCGCTCGGGGGCACTGCCCCGACCCTCCGCATGTGCAGGGACAGGGGGACACTTACTCTTGGCCGGGATGGTCCCTCCAGCCGGTGGCCGGTGCCTGTGCGGGGGGCAGGGACGGGGAACGGCATCGCGGGTGAGCTGGGGAAACTGAGGCAGGCGGCGCGGTGTCCTGAAAGCCCCCGCGGCGCTCCTGCTCCATCACGGGGGGCAGCCACCCGTCCGAAAAAACCGGGATGTACGCGGGTACCAGGGCGCCGTTGGGGTACTCGGCCCTACAACATCGGGGCGGGGCACGGCGGTGGGCGCTGGGACCCCCCTCAAATCCAGAGCCCCTTTCTCGGTGTCGGGGGGCTGGAGCCCACCTGGACTTGTTCCAGGCGGTGCCGAGGCTCTTCCAGACGCCGTAGTCATCATCGCCCAGGTTCTCCTCGAGGAAGTCCAGCGCCTCGGGCAGCAGCAGCGGGCTCTGCACGGCCGCGGCCAGCCCGGGGCTGGGGCAGTGGTCAAGGACCTGCAGGGACGGGCATGGAGCAGCACCCCCAAACACCCCCCAGGATGGGGCGGTGAGGGGTGATCCCCCCCGTGTCACACATTCCGGGGGGTGGGACCCGCTCGGAGGGCACTCACGAAGGACAGAGCTGAGAAGATGAGGCGCAGCAGCTCGGAGGGAGCGGGGTCCGTCACGTACCGGTGGCTCCGACCCTGGCGGGGAGGGGGGAAAGGTGTCCCAGGGAGCCCCACGGGGCCCCCCAGCACACCCACACCTCTCATCCCTACACAGACCCTTGTCCCTATATGGCCCCTCCACCCCACAGAGCCCCTCAGCTCACCCACACCTCCCTTGCCCCGTGCAGCCCCTCCAGCCCACACAGCTCCCCACTCCTAACCCCACGGCCCCCCATCCCCACACAGCCCCACTCCCCACATTCCCATGCAATCCCCCATCCTCACACCCCCCCGATTCCCACAGGCCCC